TGTCGTAGGTTCTTCTGACATGGACTGCCCCTTCCTTTCTTAGGTAGCATCAGCTCGGTCCTGATTTTAAAATGCCTTCTGCATTTTACACAGAATTTTCATTGCTTCGAAGTCTTACAAGTTACCGACCTTAGCCACTGGGCGTGGTGGTGCAGCCTGTAATCCCAGCACTCTGGAGGCTGAGGCAGGAGGAATGTTGCGAGTTCGAGGCCAGCCTGGGCTACAAAGTGAGCGCAAGTCCACTTTGAACTGCATATCGAGACCCTGTCTCAAAAGATTAAAAAAAAAAAAAGTTGCCCACCTTAGCCAGGGGTGGTGGCACACGCCTGTAATCCCAGCACTCTAGAGGCTGAGGCAGGAGGATAGCTATGAGTTCGAAGCCAGCCTGGACTACACAGTGAGTTCCACGACAGTGTGAACTCCATACTGAGCTCTTGAGTCAAAACAAAACAATACAAATCTGCCACGTTCTGAAACAGTCCCAAAATACACTGCTGTGCAACTGTGTCCTGTGAGCTGCCCCTGTCCGGCTCCTCTCTGATCCCTGTCTTCGGGCCCTGGCAGTAGTGGGTGCTTCCTCCCTGGGTCCCAGTGCGCCTACAGCAGTCCCGCAGGGCGAGCTTGCCCCTTGGGCCTCGTCCCTGCCGTGCCCGGCGATGGGGAGACACGTGCGCACCCGCCCGCGTGAGCAGCACTGTGTTCACGGGCGAGATTTGGTTTAACTTTTGCCGCAACGATCACGGAGGCCTCTGCGCTCCGCTTTCCACCCGGGCGCCGGGCTGCGGAAGGCGCGCGCCTGGCCGGGCGGCTGAGCTTCGCCGGGCGCCACCTGCTGGACCTGTGGCGCATCACCCCGGAAGGGCTCCTTCGCGGGGTCCGGAGGCCCTGGCGGGGACCGGGGAAGGCAGCGCTCGCCCTGACCAGGTAGAGACTTTGCAGGGTCCTTGATCGTTTTTTGAGGCCCTGGGGATTGCACCTAGGGCCTTGCCCATGCTGGGCAAGCAGTCTACCACCAAGGTACAATCCCAGCCCTTTTTTATTTTATTTATTTATTTCGGTCTTTGTGAGACAGGGTCACACTATGCAGTTCAGGCTGGGCTTGAGCTCACTTTGTAGCCCAGGCTGGCCTCCAACTCGCAAGGATCCTCCTGCCTCAGCCTCCCCAGTGCTGGGGTTACAGGCCTGCACCACCATGCCTGGCCTATTTATTTATTTTTTTGAGACAGGGTCTAGCTATGCAGTTTAGGCTGGATTTGAACTCACTAGGAGACCAGAATGGCCTCCAACTCTCAATGATCTTCCCCTTGCCTCAGCTTCCAGGGCACTGGGGTTGCAGACCTGCCACATCATGTCCGTCCCAGCCTTTTTTTTTTCTCTTTAAAGCCTAAAACAGGGTCTCACTAAATTGCCAAGGCTGGGGTTGAACTTGAAATCTACCCTGCGCTCTGAGTGACTTCCTGGGCAGCCCTCCCACCACCACCCCACTTCTGGTCGCTGTGCTGTTGCCTGGTCTGGAGCTTCCTATAAAAGGAAATCCTGCAGGCTCTTCTGTGCCTGGCTGCCCTTGCTCAACGTGGTAACTTAGATTCCTCTGTGTTGTTGTACATTTCAGGAATCCCTCCCTTTTAATGCTAAGTGTAAAATTGCTAGTGTGCATTTTCCTGGACACTTGATAGGCTTCAGCAATTACAAATAAACTGCTGGGAACATCCACGTGCAAATACTTCTGTGGCTATGTTTTCAGTTATCTTGGGTAAATACTTCAGCACAGTGGAATTTGTGGGATAAAGGGCTGTATGATTAACACTGTAGAAATCTGCCAAGCACAGATGGTGGCACATGCCTGTAATTCCAGCTGCCCTGGAGGCTGATGCAGGAGGATTATAAGTTTGACTCAAGCGCAAGCAACTTAGCAAGACCCTGTCTCAGAGTAAAATCTGAAAGGGCGGCTCCTGTGTGCACCAACCTGCAGTTTGCTGCCCAGTGGGCAGGCCGATTTGGGATCCTGGGGGCAGCTGTGGTGAGGCCACTGTTGGTCCCACTCCACTGCACACACAGCCATGGCCTCGGGAGCTGTGCTGTGTGCAGCCGGACTGGGTCTTGAGCATCTTGCCGCAGGCTCCTCTGAGAGGTCTGACTGTGGTTTCAGAGCAAGCGTAGGTTCCAGGTCACACAGAGACCAGGGGCGGAGCTGCAGCAAGGGGCGAGGGTGGCAGGGTAGTCAGCTGTGCGCCCAGATGTCCCAGGGGAGCTGAGCACGGAGCAGGGGGGCACTCTGCCCAGGGTCCTGGCTGACCACCGGGGCCAGGAGATGTGACCTGCAGGTGGACTATCAGGGACAGAGCCCTGGTGTGATGAGCTCCAGCACATGTTGGAAACTATGCAGACACAACACTGGATTCTAAGAAGCTGTTACAGCTGCTACTGGGGGTTGAACCCAGGACCTTTGCACTGAGCTACCTACCCAGCCTCTTCTTTAAATTTTATTTTATTTTTTGTCTTTCTGAGACAGGGTCTCGCTATGCAATTCAGGCTGGCCTTGAACTCACTTTGTAGCCCAGGCTGGTCTCAAACTCGCAATAATCCTCCTGCCTCAGCCTCCCTAGTGCTGGGATTATAGGTGTGTGCCACCATGCCCGGCATGGTGTTAAATTTTATTTTAAAATATTTTAAA